TTTCAACTTGATGTTGAATTACATTTACTGGTTGAGGATTTGATTTCCTCTGTTTCCGCGGAAGCATATGAGAAGTTATATCTCGTCTTGTCAGATTTTCTCCCCCTCTTGCTCTCATTTGGGGAGAAGAGTGGTTTATCAGGTACCTCCACTCTTTCTGACACTTTACTGCAGGAATATAGAATTTAGTGACACCTTGTCATCAGTAAATGTATATGGCAAATTTGTAATGTGTTGCAAATATATGATTCTCTAAACTTTTAGTTCAGATTCTTTGAGTACGTGGATAGAAGGATTGAATGCCAATAACATTTCTAATTTATTTCTCGGCATTCATTGTGGTACTTATCTCCCCCTAATGCCAGAAAAAAATCCTTATTGCTGATGCAATCAGCATACAGGCTATGAATAATTTTGATTGACGGATAAAATGTTATTCCTCACATAGATTCCTAATTTTTTGTGAGTGCCCATTGATGTACGCTGGAGTGGTGATTTCGATATGTAACCGAATTATCGCAGATGGGAAATACTTTGTTGATTTCCACGTAGTAACTACAAGGGGAAAGTAGTATGATATGCAGTTGGTATGATTTAGATCATACTTACGGTGTGTAAGGCCGTATGTGTCCAGCAAGAGGCTGGTAAATTTACAATTCTTTAAAAGTGGTCATGTAATTCATTTAACTCTCTTTGACAAGAAATTTAGCTAAACCATTCTGGGTATGCACAGAAAATACTTAATGTAAAAAATGCTCATTGAATGAGTTCAACAACATTGTTCATTCGAATGGGTGTGTAGATCCTGTTTTCAGGAGAATTTGCTCTTACTTTGATAAGTTGAGCAATTTATTTAGTAAGATCATGCATGGTTGTGTGTGATAAGAGACACACTTAAAAGCATTTTATGAATGTGTATATGAGTACCATGAAGTATCTAAATTACCCCAGATAATGGTTAAGCAATCCAGACATATCTTTTCAACGTGTTCAAGGAAGAATAAGTGTCTTGCTTAGAAATTTAAGGTGACAGTTCCTTAAAACAGATTTCCCCTATGGCACATGTGGTGCACATATAATCTGATAATCTGGGGAATATTTTTGCAACTTGTTAAGCTGTGACCAACTGAATTGTCAACAATTTTCTAATCATCCCCAAACCAGGATGGCTAAGGCTACCAAGCCAAATATTTAATTTATTAAGATATAGAAAATTATTGTGTACGCAACAATATTGAGTATGACTTGATTCATACATTCAAAATTTATTGAATATCATGTCTGTGAAATAAGATATTGGACATCGCTCTACTTGTAGTAGAACAAACATATGCTAATAATATTTTGGGATAATTAGGAGATTACCTGAGGTCTCCATTTTTTACTGAATGCAAATGATCCTCCTTTTACCGCACTAGATTCTGGTCCTCCTTCTGATGAAGAATCTAAGAACAATCATTTTTGCAGGAAATTTACTGGTTGTATGTTTGTAAAATTTTAAATTTATCCCATGAAACTTATTTGCCTTTTCAGTAAATTTGTGGTGTGGTTCGACTATATGTTTGAGGGTTTGGTAATCATAGGTACAATATTTATACGACCACACATTTGACAAACTTGAGAGTTTTCCTTTGATCATTTGAAAATTATTGATTCCTATTAAGAGATAATTTTGTCTTTGGTTGTCTATTAGCCTCCACTTTACTTCGAATTCCTCATGGTTCTATTTTGTGACCACTAACTTGCATAGTATTCTGATACTAGCAAGAATTTTAAATTATGGTATAGCACCTGTTGGGTGAATCTGATGATTTTAAGAAATTCCATGTTTCTCATCATGGAAAATGCCATCATAATTAAGAGGATGTAAAGTGTATTGAGAGCTTTTCAACTAGATCTGTATATGAAAATATTTGATCACGAGATCTCAACTTGAAGTTGATTATGTGACATAATTGTGAGACGCAATAGACTTGAGGTCTTGAAAACTAAATGGGGGATCATTCCCGATGTGCACATGACATCATGTTTCTCTTAACTGAAATATTCGAGATGAATAAATATTCATCCATTATGTACTTAGTTTCAGAACTAAGTGAAGTTGGTGACGCATAAAATGCATATGAGTGTTGCAACTTTAGAGTCACCGCCAAAAATATAGACATTGCATGTTTAACATTGGTTAGTCACAATGAAAGTATAACCACAATGTGATATGGACACTACAGAAGTGTTGAGACACTCAATCGTTGCCATATATTATGGGATCCATCTTGATGGATGAACGACACTATAATTAGAAATAGTGACATAGGCTCAACTTTCATGTATTTAACCAATATAATAGAAGGTAATTACCGGGGCATGCATATGTTTGCGTAATTCCCTACGACTTATTCAAGCAAAATGAGGCTTGAATAATTGATATTGGTAGATATTACCATTCAACATATAATGGTCATGTATGAATTTACTATGATAGTAAATCATTTTAGTGAACAACAACAATTGCTTCGGAGGAGCAAATTTTGGAATAGCTGATGCTTTATAACCATATGTGTAGACCTCAGTCAGGGCCGACCCTGGGGGGGGGGGGGCAGGGGGGCGGCCGCCCCATGCCCCCACAAGGTAGGGGCCCCCACCCAGGTATGTACTAGGTATATACGTATAGCAGGCTGTAGGCCCATGTCAAACAAAATAGTCAAAGCCTTTCACGTGCACGCACAGGCTCGCAAGAGATACGAGCAGTAGCGGCAGGATTAGCGACATGCGTGGCTTGATTAGCGATTGCTTTCCTTCGTCCTCCACGTGAAAAAAAGACAACAATATGCGGCAGGATACTCGACAGTTCGACCCATCTCATCACGCAGGCTCCCAGCCCTAGGCCGCCACCCGCCCTCGCCGACACGGCGACACCGCGAGTCCGTGACACGCCGTACTGCAGGTCTGCCCACTGCCATCTGGCTCTTGCTAATTTCTAATTCTCTTCTCCTAATTTCCTTCCTAATCCAGTTCACAGCTGATTCCAATTCAGGGGGCCCTCACGCTTGGTCAATTGCTCATTGCTCTCCGAGTCTAGGCGCTGCAAATAGCACACGGACTGACGTTGAACCAGGTATATTATATTTGCGTTTCGCCGTTTCCTTGATGCGTATGTGGTACTGTTGAATAATTGATGCAAAAATTACTTTTTCAGGATTGTGTGTTAGCATGCCTCCGAGAAACAGGACATATGCATCGGGTAGTAAAAAAGGAAAAAGAAGAAGGTCGTAGATAAATTGGTACAATCACAGCGTGGGCATCTACACTTATATTACAAGAGTACTTCCACTACTTCGATAAACCCAGGTGATGAGTTGGCGATAGTTGCCATAGAGGAAGAGCAACAAACTAATGTAAATTCAGAATCAAATCAGCAAGAAGAAAATGTCAAAACCAACATCGACGACAGCAATGTAAGTGGCTCCGAGAATGTAGGTAATTCGTCGGATGCACAAGAACAATCTCCTAGTGTTGATGAACCAGTCTATACTCTTGATATTTATGATCCAAGAAATTGGGATAATCTTGAAAATAAAGCAAGAGATGTATTAGTTGAGAAAGGGCCAATGAGAGAGGAAGAGGATAAAATGGAATACCGTGTAGATGATGCAGGAAGACATTTTTCCTATGCTCACTATCATAGGAAATTAAGCAATGGAGAGAAACATGATAGAAAATGGCTAGTTTATTCAGAAGGTGTTGACAAAGTTTTTTGCTTTTGTTGTAAGATCTTCAAGTCTAGCAGTAGCAGGAGTCAGAGTTCCTTAGCACATGATGGATTAGATCATTGGAGGCACATTAGTGAGAAGCTTAAAGAACATGATAGTAGTGTTGATCATATTAATAACATGAACAAGTGGAATGAATTAAGGATTAGACTACGGAAAGAGGAAACTATTGACAAGGACTTGCAGCATCAAATAACAAAGGAGAAAGAACGTGTCAGGCAAGTTTTGTTAAGAATAATAGCCATTGTGAAATATCTTGGTAAACGCAACTTGGCTTTTCGCGGAAACAGTGAGCAACTTTACAAGGATGATAATGGTAATTTCTTAGCTTGTGTTGAGATGATTGCAGAATTTGATTTAGTAATGCAAGACCACCTTAGACGTATCCAGAACAAAGAAATTCATTACCATTATCTTAGTCATAAAATTCAGAACGAGTTGATATCTCTTTTGGCTGCTAACATCACATGTTCTATTATAAAGGTTGTTAAAGAGGCCAAGTATTTCTCTATTATCCTAGATTGTACCCCTGATGACACTTCTGGCTTAGGGATTTTTAAAGTACTTCTTGAATCTATGGAGACTTTTGGCTTAAATATTAATGATATAAGGGGTCAAGGATATGACAATGGTTCTAACATGAAAGGAAAATACCGAGGGGTATAATCTAGGTTACTTGATGTGAATCCAAGAGCATTATACATGCCATGTGCTTGTCATAGTCTCAACCTCACTCTCTGTGATATGGCAAAAACATGTGAGAAAGCTGTTTCATTTTTTGGAATTGTTCAGCGCATATATATATTATTTGCTGGTTCTACGAAAAGGTGGAATGTTTTGCTTAAACATGTTCCTAGTTTGACTGTGAAATCATTGTCCAACACTCGCTGGGAGAGTCGAATCAAACGTGTTACAACAATAAGATATCAAGGCATTGAGTTAAGGTCAGCTTTGTTTGAGTTATGTGATGCTTCTGACACTGAACCTAAGGATAAAAGCGACGCAAAAAATTTATTTGATGCACTTGGTCGCTTTGAGTTTCTAGTTGGTATGATTATCTGGCATGATATTCTGTTTGCTGTAAATAAAGTTAGCAAGATGCTGCAATCGTCAACCATGTGTATTGACTCTGCTTTGAAGCAAATAAAAGGTATAACGGAATATTTTGGGAAGTACAGAGATGATGGGTTTTCTTCAAGTGTGACCATCACCAAAGGTATTGCGACTCAAATGGGAATTGATCCCGTGTTTCCAATGAAACGTCGTGGTAAGAGGAAGAGACAGTTTGGTGAAAGTGATTGTCAAGAAGAAATTCTAGAAGCTGAGAAGGCTTTTCGTGTTAAATATTTTTTTGTTTTGGTTGATATGGCGGTCACTTCTTTGAGGGATAGATTTAAAGAACTAATGGTGTTCAAAGATATCTTTGGATTTTTATTGAGCTCGGGCACTCTGAAGTCATTAAGTGATAATGAACTTGAAGAGTGTTGCACAAAATTTGCCGAAACATTCTCTCTTGATGGTTCATCTGATGTAGAGGTATATGATCTTATTTCTGAATTGAAGATTATGAGATTCACTTTGCCAAATGGCGTAATGTCTGCCATGGAGATTTTTGGGCATGTTAGAGAAGTTGATTGTTATCCGAATATCTCCATTGCTTATCGCATCTTATTTACTGTGCCTGTGATGGTCGCATCGGCCGAGAGAAGCTTTTCAAAGCTGAAATTGTTGAAGAATTATTTGAGGTCAACTATGACTCAAGAGAGATTAAATGGTTTGGCTACATTATGCATCAAGAAGAAATTATTGGATGAGATTGACATCGACCCCATCATAAGTGACTTTGCATCGAGGAATGTTAGAAGAATTTTTTAAGGTATTATGTATTTTTTTATACGCATACAGATTTTGGATTTAAGTGTCACTGATTATATATATATATATATGTATGTGTGTTTTTAGACAAATATATATATGCACACGTATATTACAATGGCTCGTATATTAGGGGCCCCCAATTTTAAGTTCGCCCCGGGCCCCCGAAATCTCAGGACCGGCCCGGACCTCAGTCTATAGGATAACACTTTGAAGATAATCACCAATATGGTGTAGATCTCACAGTAATAGAAAACATAGTCTGACTTTTGCTAGTATATGTTCATAATTCTATTAACTTATGTTATGCTAAATGTATAAAATCACTTTGAAGGTAATCATATGTCAAAGTGACAACATGTAGACCTTGCAGTAATAGTGGATAGTCTGTAAAAACTTACAGTAGATGCCAGTAATACCTTATGATATCTTGAGGTAGTCACATATAATATTAATATTTGGAAGAGCACTTGAAGGTAGTCATCTTATCAAAATGACAAGACGTATACCTCACAGTAGTGATGGATAATCTGCAAATTATGCAGTAGATGCCATCAATACCTTGTGATTCGCAAATAAAATATGATGTAGTCATATTAAGTATGACACTTCGCAATCCTTGTTTTGAATTTACATCATGATTTGAAAGAAGAAGAAGAAAATCAATTGAAAACATAGTTGTTGCACTTATTGTAAAGAATAGTACTGGGGTCCATCGCAGATGTAATGATCGACCCATCCAAAAACATAGGCTCAATTCCTTAGACGCAACCAATATGATCTACTACTAGTAGTTATTAACCAAAATCTAAAAATGAAGGAAATATGCCCTAGAAGCAATAATAAAGTTATTATTTATTTCCTTATTTCATGATAAATGTTTATTATTCAAGCTGGAATTGTATTAACTGGAAACATAATAATTGTGTGAATACATAGACAAACTAAACGTCACTAGTATGCCTCTACTTGACTAGCTCGTTGATCGAAGATGGTTATGTTTCCTAACCATGAACAAAAGAGTTGTTATTTGATTAATGGGATCACGTAATTAGAAGAATGATGTGATTGACATGACCCATTCCATTAGCTTAGCACCCGATCGTTTAGTATGTTGCTATTGCTTTCTTCATGACTTATACATGTTCCTATGACTATGATATTATGCAACTCCTGTTTGCCGGAGGAACACTTTGTGTGCTACCAAACGTCACAACGTAACTGAGTGATTATAAAGGAGCTCTACAGGTGTCTCCAAAGGTACATGTTGGGTTGGCGTATTTCGAGATTAGGATTTGTCACTCTGATTGTTGGAGAGGTATCTCTGGGCCCTCTCGGTAATGCACAGCACATAAGTCTTGCAAGCGTTGCAACTAATGAGTTAGTTGCGAGATGATGTATTACGGAACGAGTAAAGAGACTTGTCGGTAACGAGATTGAACTAGGTATTGAGATACCGATGATCGAATCTCGGGCAAGTAACATACCGATGACAAAGGGAACAACGTATGTTGTTATGCGGTCTGACCGATAAAGATCTTCGTAGAATATGTGGGAGCTAATATGAGCATCCAGGTTCCGCTATTGGTTATTGGCCGGAGACGTGTCTCGGTCATGTCTACATTGTTCTCGAACCCGTAGGGTCCGCACGCTTAAGGTTTCGATGACAGTTTCATTATGAGTTTATATGTTTTGATGTACTGAAGGAGTTCGGAGTCCCGGATGAGATCGGGGACATGACAAGGAGTCTCGAAATGGTCAAGACGTAAAGATCGATATATTGGACGACTATATTCGGACATCGGAAAGGTTCCGAGTGATTCGGGTATTTTCATAGGTACCGGGGAGTTACGGGAATACGAGGAAGAAGCAATGGGCCTTAATGGGCCTTAGTGGGAAGGACCAGGAGGTGGCACGCGCTCCTCCCAAGCCCAGTCCGAATTGGACAAGGGTTTTGGGGCACAGCCCCTCTCTCCCTTCCTTCCCCTCTCCCCCCCTTTCCCCCCTTCTCCTAGTTGGACTAGGAAAGGAGGAAACCTACTCCAACTAGGAGTAGGAATCCTACTCCCCTGGTGCGCCCCTCCTAGGGCCGGCCTCCTCCCCCCTTGCTCCTTTATATACGGGGGCAGGGGGCACCCCATGGACACAACAATTGATCCTTGAGATCTCTTAGCCGTGTGCGGTGCCCCCCTCCACCATAATCCTCGATAATATTGTAGCGGTGCTTAGGCGAAGCCCTGTGAAGGTAGAACATAAAGATCGTCACCACGCCGTCGTGCTGACGGAACTCATCCCCGACACTTTGCTGGATCGGAGTCCGGAGATCGTCATCGAGCTGAACGTGTGCTAGAACTCGGAGGTGCCGTAGTTTTGGTGCTTGATCGGTCGGGCCGTGAAGACGTACGACTACATCAACCGCGTTGTTATAATGCTTCCGCTTTCGATCTACGAGGGTACGTAGACAACACTCTCCCCTCTCGTTGCTATGCATCACCATGATCTTGCGTGTGCATAGGAATTTTTTTGAAATTACTACGTTCCCCAACAGTGGCATCCGAGCCCAGGTTTTACCAGCATGTCATACTTTGATTCGGCGGTATTGTTGGATGAAGCAGCCCGGACCGACATTACGCGTACGCTTACGCGAGACTGGTTCTACCGACGTGCTTTGCACACAGGTGGCTGGCGGGTGTCAGTTTCTCCAACTTTAGTTGAACCGAGTGTGGCTACGCCCGGTCCTTGCGAAGGTTAAAACATCACCAACTTGACAAACTATCGTTGTGGTTTTTGATGCGTAGGTAAGATTGGTTCTTGCTCAGCCCGTAGCAGCCACGTAAAACTTGCAACAACAAAGTAGAGGACGTCTAACTTGTTTTTGCGGGGCATGTTATGATGTGATATGGTCAAGACGTGATGAGATATAAGTTGTTATGAGATGATCATGTTTTGTTGAAGTTATTGGCAACTGGCTAAATCCTTATGGTTGTCTCTCTATTGCATAAGATGCAAGCGCCAAATAATTGCTTTACTTTATCTCTATGCGATAGCATTAGTTGCAAGAGCGATTGTTGGCGAGACGACCATGTGACGACACATTGATATAGATCAAGATGATGGAGATAATGGTGTCATGCCGGTGATGATAGAGATCATGACAGTACTTTGGAGATGGAGATCAAAGGCGCAAGATGATCATGGCCATATCATGTCACATATTTTGATTGCATATGATGTTTATCTTTTATACATCTTATTTTGCTTAGTTTGACAATAGCTTTATAAGATGATCTCTCACTAAATTTCAAGGTATAAAGTGTTCTTCCTGAGTATGCACCGTTGCGAAAGTTCTTCGTGCTGAGACACCACGTGATGATCGGGTGTGATAGGCTCTACGTTCAAACACAACGGGTGCAAAACAGTTGCACACGCGGAATACTCAGGTTAAACTTGACGAGCCTAGCATATACAGATATGGCCTCGGAACACTGGAGACCGAAAGATAGAGCGTGAATCATATAGTAGATATGATCAACATAGTGATGTTCACCATTGAAAACTACTCCATCTCACGTGATGATCGGACATGGTTTAATTGATTTGGATCACGTGATCACTTAGAGGATTAGAGGGATGTCTATCTAAGTGGGAGTTCTTAAGTAATATGATTAATTGAACTTTAATTTATCATGAACTTAGTCCTCGTAGTATTAGCATATCTATGTTGTAGATCAATAGCTCGCGTTGTTGCTTTCATATGTTTATTTCGATATGTTCCTAGAGAAAATTGTGTTGAAAGATGTTAGTAGCAATGATGCGGATTGGATCCGTGATCTGAGGTTTATCCTCATTGCTGCACAGAAGAATTATGTCCTTGATGCACCGCTAGGTGACGGACCTATTGCAGGAGCAGATGCAGACGTTATGAACGTTTGGCTAGCTCAATATGATGACTACTTGATAGTTTAGTGCACCATGCTTAACGGCTTAGAATCGGGACTTCAAAGACGTTTTGAACGTCATGGACCATATGAGATGTTCCAGGAGTTGAAGTTAATATTTCAAGCAAATACCCGAGTTGAGAGATATGAAGTCTCTAACAAGTTCTATAGCTAAAAGATGGAGGAGAATCGCTCAACTAGTGAGCATGTGCTCAGATTGTCTGGGTACTACAATCGCTTGAATCAAGTGGGAGTTAATCTTCCAGATAAGATAGTGATTGACAGAATTCTTTAGTCACCATCACCAAGTTATTAGAACTTCGTGGTGAACTATAGTATGCAAGGAATGACGAAAACGACTTCCGAGCTTTTCATGATGATGAAATCGATGAAGGTAGAAATCAAAAAAAAGCATCAAGTGTTGATGGTTGACAAGACCACTAGTTTCAAAAAAAGGGCAAAGGAAAAAAGGGGAACTTCAAGAAGAACAACAGGTAAGTTGCTGCTCAAGTGAAGAAGCCCAAGTCTGGTCCTAAGCCTGAGACTAAGTGCTTCTACTGCAAAGGGACTGGTCACTCGAAGCGGAACTACCCCAAGTGATTGACAGATAAGAAGGATGGCAAAGTGAACATAAGTATATTTGATATACATGTTATTGATGTGTACTTTACTAGTGTTTATAGCAACCCCTCAGTATTTTATACTAGTTCAGTTGCTAAGATTAGTAACTCGAAACGGGAGTTGCAGAATAAACAGAGACTAGTTAAGGGTGAAGTGACGATGTGTGTTGGAAGTGGTTCCAAGATTCATATGATCATCATCGCACACTCCCTATACTTTCGAGATTAGTGTTGAATCTAAATAAGTGTTATTTGGTGTTTGCGTTGAGCATGAATATGATTTGATCATGTTTATTGTAATACCGTTATTCATTTAAGTAAGAGAATAAATTGTTGTTCTGTTTACATGAATAAAACCTTATATGGTTACACACCCAATGAAAATGGTTCATTGGATCTCGATCGTAGTGATACACATATTCATAATATTGAAACCAAAAGA